CTCTTTCCCACATTTGCGGCAGGAGCCATTTATTTGTGAAAGTCTTGGACAAACGTAACAAAAAGGACTTCAGTTCATCTCGTCCAACCCCCTCCACAGGGTGGGATCATACCTATCTAAACCAGCCTAGGAAAGTATCAGCGCGTCCCTTCCCAGCATATATGTGTTGAATATCTGCATGTGCAAATCGAAGGTTACTTTCTATTGAATCTACCAGTACTAATGCATATATAATTTTGCCTTGTTTAAACATATCCTGTGCCTGCCCAGTCTGGCAGCACTCTTTTCCACAATAACATCCAACAAGCCTATCCCTACCTCCCTTCCTCTGCCACCAGGCGCACACCTCTCCCTACCACGCAACTCACCTTGGTCATGAGATCACACATTTACAGTTCATGCAGCCCGGGCCGCTTTCATCCGGAGGATTTAACTTGCGCAGCTTGTGCTGCCGGATCTCCCGCACTAAGGTGTAGAAGGCGTCTTCGACCCCCTGGAAGAGAGGCATAGTGGTTTGAGCAATGCCAGGCCATTCTGCAAGAGGAGGGTGGTGAGAGCACAGAACTGCCTGGTGTGATTTGAGGGGTCTAAATGCCAAGTAAGAGGGAGGAAGCCGAGCGGGGAAATCTCAGATGCATCCTGAGAATTGCTCCCTAATGTCAAGAGCGAGCAAACAGCCACTTGAGTACAGAGGCTCCATCTCAGCAAAAGAGACAGGCCCTCTCGCTAGACACTACCTTAGAACAGGGAGGCAGCATGAGCTGGCAGAGGACACCAACCGCCTCCTTTTCTACTGCTAACTCTCTGGACCCAGGAACTGCCCAGGTGATGCCAGGCTCCATGTTTCTAAAGACAGCAGGACAATGAGGTTAGTGAAGTAATTAGAGAGTTCAGGCAGCCGTCCAGTGTTAACTACAGGGGTTCGCACTAAGCCTTGTGGAAAATGTCAGTTGGGGAAAACCTGGATGGGGCATTTAAACAAGGAAAATGTCAGCACCCTTCTGTTGAACACCCAGCCCCTTAGCACCCTTCCTCCCCCACTATGGCCACGTCCAGACAAGTGTGGCCGTGCAGTATATGGTGCTGCAGACACATCTGCAACGCCACATACTGCACATTCACTTGTTCTCCCTGCTGCAAGGGAGCAGCATGGGGGATATCCAGGGTCAAAAAAATAAGTGGAATGGTGCACACAGGGGCAGCATGCACTGCTCAAAACCAGAGCTGGGCCGCCAGGAGCTGTGCTCCAGTTGCCAGCTGGGCTCCACACAGCAGAATTGCTACTGCTGCAGCCCTGGGAGACCCCCAGGACCCCAGGTAAGGCTGCTGGGACAGCCTACTGCTGGCTCTAGCCTCCCCTGCCCCACTCAGGGCAACATGCTACATGCCACAGTGCCTGTGGCACAGGCATTCCCCACGGACAACTTGGTTTTTCCCAGGGAACCAAACATCCACACCTGTAGACACGGCCTCCAAGTGTACACAGCAGAGCAAGGGATCTAATCAACCTGAAGCCAAGAGCAAAAATATCTGGGCCTGTCTCACTGGTATCAAAGCACTTTCCAGTCAAGGGTTGTCAGCTACAGGTGCCTTCTAGCCCTTCTGCAATTACCCCTAGTAGGTGTTTTCTCTTTCCTCCTCCCCTCCAGGAAGATCAGCCCTGACTGAACTCCAATGAGGGAGCACAGCAGGAACTACAGGAGTAAGGAGATTTAAGGATCAAGGAGGAATTTTACATGTAGAAGTGCCAGATGTTCATTAGCTCTGCAAACTTTATGTATCCTGTTGCCCTTGTTACCCACTCAAACCTTCCCTTTGGTGGTGCATATACACATGTCTGTATGATACATGTGGACACATGCCCACTGTGCTGTCAACATGTCAGCGAATGGCCCAACAGACAGAATGGCCCAGGATGCAGCACAGAAGATGAACACAAGGAAACAGGATGAAGCATGCACTGGAAACAGCATGCAGTCAATGTGCAGCTGGAACCAGCTTGGGACCCACCCAACCCTACTGTGTGGGTGGCTCTTCATTACCCCTTTGTAATCTTTCCGGCGAGCCTGATGCTGGTGAAACGTGCCAGATTCAGAAACCCTGGAGAACAAAGCCTCCCTCTCAACAGGACAAGCTGCAGCCTTGCAGTGCCTTATCAGTGCACCTAAGTTCTGACATGCAGGGATCATCTCTAGGCACAACACAGCCCATTCACCTCTGGCTGTCTTTGCTGTCACCACCAGCAAGAGTGCCCCTGAGCATAGTCGTGGACATGTTCTGGAGCTGTGCACTTACTGGACCACGGATTAAAGCCTTTCCAAATTGTGCAAACGTTATGTGTCTCTCTAGAACTCCCTTTCAGAGCAAGCTCTGGTAAGGAACAGGACATTCTGCTGAAGTGTTCAGACTTTAGGTGTCATTGGACCCTTCCGAATATGGGCACTTTTGCCAAGAATCTATCGTACTTACTCAAATATAAGACGATCACCACCTGCCCTCAGCTTGGAAGAAAAGCCCTGTCTTAGATTTGTGCACAAAGTGGAGTGGGAGCAGCTTTGGCTCTGAGCCCAGGTCCAGGCCAGAGTTGGACTTGCCACCCACTCCCAGCCCCCACTCCCCAATTTGCCCACTGCATCTTTTGCCCTCCATCCCCTGCCCTCTTCCCCACTCTTACTGTCAGGTATAGCTCAGCCCCAGCTCGGGCTGGGTTCCCTCCCAGGCACAAAGCCGATGGACCTCTGTTCCTTGCCTGTCCAATCAGCTGTGCTGACACTGCTTCATGGCCTGCCAAGGGCTGAGCTTCCAAGTGCTGTGCTCCAGGAGCAAAGCCCGAGCAGCACCCGACAGTAAATGGGGAGGGGTGCCAGGAAGGCTGCAGGAGGAAGAAGTGTGTGTGTGTTGGGGAGGGCAGGAGCCGGCAGAGGTCAACAAGGCCACCTGACAATCCCCGCCCCCATTCTCCCTGCTTTAATAATCTGAGAGGGACAAATTCGAGACAAATCTCCGATAATTAGATTCTGTACCTGGTAAATTATAACACATTTCTAATTTTTCCATATAAAGAATCTAATGAATGGGTTCATCTTAAATTCAGGGTTGACTTAGATTTGAGTAAACATGATATTTGCAAAGCTCCCATATGCCAGAGCAGTGAACATAGCACAGAGAGGTCGCCTTGTTGTGCTGTGACCCCATGGATTTTGTGTGCAGGGAAAACAGTGTATCATCATTAGACATAGGATTTATATGCAAATGCCTATTCTTTTCCTGGGTGTGCGAACTACCAGAACTTTGTCTAAGGCAATATTTGTATCAACACAGCTGCAAAGACATATGTTTTATAGTGAAGATAGATGCATATTTGAGGGGTTAGGGCATAATAATGATGTTAATGCATGAAAATGTCATGTAAGCTAATCTATTAGGCTGTGATACATACAAAAGGCCTACTGTTGCATTTTGAAGGGAAATACCATATTTACTTGAATCCAAAATGAAGTTTTTTCCCCAAAATCTGCATGGAGGGGGAAAAAAAAGCCTCATCTTAGGCTCAAGCGCTGGCCTGGGGCAGGCCACTGCTGTGGCCCTGGTCTGGGCCTAGGGCTGAAGCTGGAGCCAAAGCAGCTGAATGCCCCAAGCTGGGATGATGCATGCAGCAGGGGAGTGGGCATGTGGTGAAGGGAGCATGGAGATCATGCAGTGAGGGTGTGGGGTGCATGGGGGAGACCTGCAATGTGCAGACTGGAAGGAGTGTGGGACAGACCATGCAGCTTACCTGCTCTCCCCACTCGCCACTTAGCTCCAGCTTCAGCTCCAGCCACAGTCCAGCCACCCCTGGAGCTGCAGCCACTGTTTCTGCCTGGCTGGGCTGGGCCAGGGCAAGGGTGGGGGTTGGAACCACTGACTGCCCCAGGGCAAGAGCCACTGTGGAAAGTAAGCAGTTGGGGGGCAGAGGGTAAGGAGTGGAGGGACCAGGGCAGACAAGCACAGGAAGGCAAGTGGCAGGGAGGGGGCAGGCAGTTGTGGAGACAGGCAGTGTGGGGACAGAGGGCAAGTGGCAGGGGGACAAGCAGCAGGAGGGCAGGCACAGGCATGGGGCAGGCAAGGGGTGCGGGTCTGGCCACCTGCCTCCCTGTTGCCGCTTTCCCCACTGCAGTGGTGGGGGATGCTATTTTCAGACAACCCCACCAACAATTAGATTCTATACATGGAAAATTGTAACATATTTATAAAATTTTCCATGTATAGAACTGGGGGGAGGATTCATTTTAAATTCAGAGCTAGGTATACATGGTCTATCTTCTTCCAAAGGCTTTCAAAAGATAAAAAGATGACTTTGTGCTTCACCATGTCTGCTTCTCCGGTGTACGTGATCCCAGCCATGCATATATCTGATATGTTCCCCAACTTTACAAAAGGGTTGTTTTTAGCTGGAAAGCCCCAAATATTGCACAACATGCAATGCAGATGAAGCCTGTTCAGGCTTGCACATTGGCTCCTTCCACTTGGATCCCCTTGCTCCCGAGCAGGTACTCGTAGAGTGCTTTCACCCTTCTGGGCTGCTGTCCCTTGGAGCTCTCGGGGAGGGGCTGTTCTTCTTCCTCCGGCCACCCCTGGCTCACAGGAATGTCTGGAGAACATCGCGGAATCTCATGTATACCTGGTGCCACATCCAATTCTGTTATACCGGTAACTTCAGTTAATGGGATGGAGGGCTGCAGTGGAGAATACCACGTGCTCTCTGTGTGTGAGATTTTCAGTTTCATTAATCTAAAGGTACTTGAGAGCTTTCCACTGGTGCTCACTGTTTACTGTTGCTAATGCCAAAAGACAGCTCAAGTGCACGTGCACTACTACACCACCAGGCTACAAGTGATGCCTGCTTTCCAACTAATGGTAAAACTATTTTTTGCCAACCACGTGGGAAGCAGGTTCCCTGTGAGGAAGAATTTCGGATCCAGCAACCTGTGAAGACTCTCAACCACTTCACTGCTAGGCAAAGAAGAGATAAAAAACATGCAAACTCTTCTCAGAAAAAAAGCTTCATTCTGCAGAGCCTGATAATTTTCTTACTAATCTCCGTAGAGCCATTGTGTGCAGCAATATTCTTTTGAACAGACTAAATGATCCATCTTTCTTAGAAAAAATATGATTTAAAGCCAGCATGTTCCAGAGGAATCAACACTAAGGAAAAAACTATCATAGCTTATAATTCTACAATTGAGGCAATTCATAGTGTTATTGGGGAAAGTCACATCCGCATTCCTAGAGATGAGACTAGTCACCTGTAGCTATTCTATAGACCAGGGGCTGAAAATCTACAGCCTACAGCAGAAGACCAGGGCCACAGGGACAAGACAAGTGGCAGTGGCTGGGTCCCAGAGCCCATCCTTCTGCCTGTCTCAGATTTGCAGCTGGAAAAGGTTGTTTACTCCTGGTATAGCCAATTTGCTGACTGGGAGACCCACTGTTGAACCTGGCAAGCCTTGCCTTTTGACTTCAAGTGTCAGAGAGGACAAATAATGCAACAAAAGTACATTTTCTAAATGCCTCTAGGTTTACTGTGTTCAAACTCAACTGTCAGCAATGAAGAGAAATTAAGGGTGTATACAGAAGTGTTCAGTGCACATTTTACAGTGCTGTAATTTAGAGTACTTTTTATAGCACTATAAAGTTACAGTGCTCTTAAAGATGACAGAAGTGCAGTGTTTGGAGGGGAAGCTATGATCCTCCCTGTACTTTCCAGGCCAGGCGGCAGGGGGCGCTTGGCAGCCTCTTGGGCAGGGGTGGGCAAAATGTGGCCTGGGGGCTGGATGTGGCCTGCCAGGCCATTCTATCCAGCCCACGGGGCCCCTAAAAAATTTAGAAAATTAATATTTATCTGCCCCTGGCTGCCTATCACACGGCCCTCGATGGCTTGCCAAAACTCAGTAAGCGGCCCTCTGCCCAAAATAATTGCCTGCCCCTGCTCTTGGGGCTGCAGTAGACTGCAGACAGCAGCAGACCAAAGGAGAAGGAAGCAGAAGCTGGGATGAGAGGCTGTCACTCATCACTGGAAGTGGGCACTGCTTCTGCCACAGATGGTCAGGCAGCAGCTCTCAAGCATCTAGTCCCCAGCCATGTACGGTCTCAGGGCATGTACAAGTATGTGATGCCCCCTCCCCCCCCCC